TATCTACGAGATAATATATAATATATAGTTTAATTTTTGGTTAATCGTTCTCTGTCGCATCAACGAACTTTTCGCACGCCCGTATCATGCTAAACCATGCGGATTAATTACCGCAGTCTCTCGAACGAAATGCACCGTGCATACCAGTCATACGCTCGATAATCGACGGACTAATTATTAGGTTACTGGAATGGGAAGCATTTTACTGGCCAAAATATTTAGCGAAGAGAGAGCTAGAATTTTTATATGCGAGAGATAAATATTTTTGCCGTGAAATTGATAAAAGAAGTAAAGAGGCAAAATTTATCTTGTTCATGAAAATTATTGAATAGCTACTCATGAAATTAATTCGAGAAAATTTTGATTCCTTCGAGAATGCAAGAAGAGAATTAAGGGAACTCTGGCAGAACTCATCGTCGCGACATTGGATTTTCAATTAGCCAATTAATTAAAAAAACATTCACTGATGGTCGGGGATTATTCCAAAGTGAATCGACGCTGGAAATGGATGAAGATTAGCGGTATTTCGTGAAAACCGCTATAACTCGATAACAGCAATAGTAGATTGCAAATATGTAAAAGAACAGAGAGAGAGAGAGAGAGAGGGAGAGAGAGAGAGAGAGAAGGGAGGAGAGAATGAGAAATATACCGGTTTAGGTCTCAATCGGCCGGTTTATTTAATTCAATTAAAATTCTTATTAAGTTCAAACATCATCCACATACACACGCTCGTGCGCTGATCAATGCAAATTGCGATTCATATATGGTGCACAGAAGCGCACGTTCGTAATCGAACGAATGCACCTCGGCCGATTTTGGCCGTGGATTTATGGTTCGCGATCATAGACACGCACACACGCACGTGGGATTATGCGTTTCCATTGCGGGGAAATTCACTTCGATCCCTGAATAATTTTCCCGCGATATCCGTGGGGGGATACGCGGCGCCACGTTTCCCAAGGGAAAACCTCGGAAAATGTTGCGGGCAAGCCGGTGTGATCGGAATAAAAGGAATGGGAGATATAGAGAGTTAGACAAGTATACTCCGTAATATAGAGGTGTATCGTATAATACTCGATGTTTTAATGATAAATCATGTTTTCCAGTCTGTTTTGCCGAACTTTGAATCCCATTTTGGGATAAAAAAAAGGACTACAATGCAATTTTAAACACTAGCGTTATATAAAGAACGTAATTTTAAAAGCACGTTTTTTTCGAAACAATGTTACACGTCGGTCACCCGATACGCGATTGAAGGATCGGCTTTTCGAAATTGCGTTTCGTCGCGTTTGTTGACGGGAAAATCGCTAACGAGCTGGAAACAGCCGCCGAACAAAATATTCCCTGTGGGGATCGAGAAGCGACGACGTAACGAAGTGGCGCGGCTTTTATTAACCCGTTGAGCTCGCGTTGCTTCTTTTTACGTACACATATCTGCGAGCATCCGTAAATCCGCAAGTACCGTGTTTTTGCGATTAAAATGTACAGGGAGACATACGATTCTGAAAATTCAATCGCACTTATCGTATACAAATTTATATCCGAGGTATTCGAGATAAATTATTTATTGGGACAGATCTTTTTTTTATTCAGATGCATTTACTTCAGGACAAAATTGAGATAAAAGGAGAATATTACTACAGCGTGTAAGTAGATTGGTAAGCTTGTATCGAGCAACTTATCATACAAAAGTTGAACGGCGGCAGAGATCCAGCAACATCCTCGACACGACATTTTCAGACTCGCGAATGCGCCTGTAACGCTGTACTATAATATTGTTGTAATTTTCCCGTATCCGTTTTACACACTGGCAATGTTACATCACGGTGCAATAATGCAGGAAACTGCGGCGAAATATTGTCGGGGCCCACGGCGAAATCCGGCGTTACAGCGTGAACGATAATGGATGTGGCGAAGGGACGTGTAAGGTTCCGTCAGATTTCGCCAGACTACTAACTGCTGACTGATTAATCTACTTAGGATCGATCGCAGAAACTGTCTACTTGTATATTAATACGAAGAGAAAAAATTTATACATATATACTTTAAAGTGGAAAAAGATAAGGTTTTCCTTCATTTTATTACGACTTTTATTACTTATGAAATTGGACTTAATGTGTGTTAAAATATAGCTAATGATTATTTTTTAATATTTGTTTTCGAGATGATTGATGACTTGACATGAATTTGAAGATTCCTTCTCGCTAAAAATTCAGATCTTGATGTTTAAATCATTCTTGAATAGCATTCTGCATCGTCTGGAAATCATCTTTCTCCACAATGTTTCTTCATGAAATGAAGTTCCAAATGAAAGTTGAAAGGAGCCAGATCTGAGCTAGGGAGAATGCTTCATAATGTTCCAATCAAATGATTGCAAAAGTTCCTGAGTTAGTGCAGGTCTAGAATTATCTATATGTGAAGAAAGTTCAAGAAAACACAAGAAAGAGGCCTGGGCTTTTCTAGAAAGAAAGCTTCTTTCTTCGAATTGTTTTCTTGATGCCATAGCAGTACAGAATGATTTAAATGTCAAGAGAATTTTTATTATGAGGAAATCTTCAAACTCGTGCCAAAGAACAGGTAGCAATCTTCTGAAAAACCATATTGAAAAATAGTCATCAGCTTCTATTTTAACATAATAAGTCAAATTTATACACAAGTCACAAATAAAATACAAAAGTCACAATAAAATAGATAATCTGATAATCTCTCTTTATTTATTACACTATATACAGGGTGTCAGGGCAATCTCTTCCCCCCAAAAAAGGCTCTTGTAGCTTATCTCGAGAGCTTTTCAAAACACTATAATAAAGTGTTATATACATATATACAAATATTTTACTTGGTGTATATACCATATATAAATGAGAATCTATATCTTGGTATATACACCAAGTAAAATATTTGTATATATGCTTTGTGCACGTTAAAAATTTTCGCAAACAATTAATGTTTAAGAAATTTACGCACTACCATCCACGTTTGGCTCTTATTCGCTCGTTTCTTAAGTATCGTGTTATTAATTACATAGAGCCGAATTCTTTATCAATTTACTATAATAAAGTATTTTTTTCATTGAGTACTTTTCGAGTTATGAGACTTGAAATAATCTCCTAATTTTACATAAATCATTAAATATCTAGTAAAATATTCATTTTTCGATTATCTTATCTTAATACTTTTATGTACAAAATAATGAAAAGAGAATCAATAGGAATAAAGAAAACAAATAATTATTTCGAAGAAAAAATATGTATATATATAATTTGCAATTAACAATTACATTTTTTTGGGGAAGAGATTGTCCTGACACGTGTATATATACATGTATGTATGTATATATATAATAATTTATTTACAGAATAAAAGGAAATAAAGCCACCGTCTTGTAGCCACCCAGGTTACTTTAGCCGTAAAACTTAACTGTAGTAATCGAGGGTTGAAATGCGTCCCGTTGGATTACGAGCAACTTGGAGGGATAAGCCCCGCCGCGAAAATTTTTCTCCCGCGCAAACTTTTCGCGCTCAAAGCCGTAAGGTCGTTACGCGTGAGCATGTAAAAAGGTCGGAACTTATGCTACTTACCCGCACCCCAAAGTCGTCGGGACGGCTGACTTCGCGAGGCGTGATTTATCGCCGGACGTTGGATGATGTTTGGACCCAATACGCCCCCGCGCGCGCCTTCCGGCCGCATTAGTTAAAGTGTCCGGGAATTTATTGTCGGAAGGAAACTCGCGCGTTAAGGTAAGAAGGAAAATATGTGGCGCAACGTTCTCGCTTATGTAACTTGAATATTATCTCCATTTAACTCCGCAAGCGAAGAAGAGATATTCCATAAACTCGGCGTAATTATCATATATATATATATATTTAATTTAACGGGTCTCCGTATTAAATATTTCGAGATAATTTTCCACTTTTATTTAAATAACGGATATACGTATATATGCTAATACATTTTTGTTATTCAAACAATATCGGGATGTTATTCAAAGAGAAATTATATCCTATTCGCACGTAGACGGTATCAGCATTAACAGTGATTTCTTCAAAGTTACCGAACTGGAAACATGCACGGGCGCGATGTATTTCCACTTCTTCCCTTTGCCATGTCTATCCCATCCCGATGAAGACGAAGGCGAGAGTACCGATTCTAATTAACCGAGATAAGACGTTGTTAATCCAGCCTCACGCAAAATCGTCCCGCGGGTACGAGAAGATTTCCCCCCCCGGGACGAATCGCATGCGTATTATTCCGAGAGACTTCATCGTAATCGTCTCATGGATGAAATTTAAACGACGAGCCGTCGTAACGCTCGACGTAACAGCCGGTAAGGGAAACTTCCCCGAGGAGGTGCGCGCAGGTGAGGAATTTCCCCTCCGAGAACTCGTAACTAAGGCATTAAGACCTTTTTCCACGACGGGAGAGGATTAACGCCGCTTAAAGCGGCAACACAGGCAGCCGAGCTCCTTAAAGAACGCCGGAATAAAAACGGCGCGTCTCGACGAGGCACACAAAATTGAGTTTAACCCCTTCGCTGTCGAGTCCGTTCGAAAAAATCTCGCTAACGATGCTGCCCTCCTCCTCCTCGCCATCTCTCTCTTCCACGAGATATTGTTCTTGTGTAAAAACGCCTCTCGATACGGGACTTTACGTTCGAAAGGAATAGAAAAAATTGTCGCTACATCTTCGTCCAATTTCCGCGAGATTGGCAATTCCACGAAGCAAAAGACTAGCGTTCATTAGCTTCAAAATCAATGTCTCATTGTCATGAAAAGACTCCTTTTTCACTTTCTTTCTCTCTCTCTTTCCCTAGCTCGCAGTAATTCGTTAATTCAGAATTGTCTTTGAAGCTGCTTAATGCCAGGTCAGGCAGCGAATCGATATTATCTCCGGGATAAAAAGGATTCTCGAGCTTTCACGGTTCTAGGAGGGTGACGGACGAGAGGGGAGGGGGAGGAGAAAGGGGGAGGGAAGAGGTCTTTCAGGATAGAGAAACGGAGATGGGGACGCGGATTGGTTTCTTCCACTTAAATCTTCAGTCGTGGAACAAAACTCGCAGATTCCTGAAGATCTACTCATCCGAGTTTGACCTGGCCCCGAAACTTTGTTCGCGTTCGGCGACTGGTGAGCGGGCTTTCCAGCTGAAGAAGCGAGTCCCCGAGTGTTACGCTGAATTCACCACCCGAGAGAAGTCCCGGCGTGAGAAAAACCAGCGGATCGCAACGTTTGTCCACCGAACGACGAGGAGGAAAAAATATATCTCCATGAAGATTACCGCGGAGCGGTCGAGTATCTCCGGATTGATGCAGAGATCACGAGCTGGATATGAATACATGTGCATCGGTAAATCTTGCTCGTATGTTGGAGAAAAATATCACCGTCAAAATTATCGTCCCTTTTATACATCCGTGCTCGCGGACACTCTATGCCAAGAAAGATCGATGTCATAATTGAGGAAAGAGGGTAATCCGTCTTCGAAAGCACGAGGTTACGATCGCGGAAAAGGACAAGAGGTGGAGAACGCTACCATCGCGAGCTCCGAAGGGATAATGTCGATAGACCGTAATTTTATTGCCGAAGTTACTACGATGGCGGTTCCAAAGTTCACTTCAGCGAACATAAAGGAAGCAGAATACAACACAATTGGAAACTGTCTGCTGCGAAACGGCAGTCGCCACCGATCTCGGGTATCCTTGCGCCCTGTCCTCGCTATCTCTTTTATCTCTCTCTCTCTCTCTCTCTCTCTCTCTCTCTCTCTCTCTCTCTCTCTCTCTCTCTCTCTCTCTCTCTCCCTCTGTTCGCCTTTCATCATTCCTGAAAAAAAGAAGAGAGATCAGACATAAATGTGCCAGTTAACTTTTGCGTTGGTATTTAATGGCTCATATTTCGCACTTAAACATATCTTTTTACCGCTACCTTTTTCATCTCGACGAAGACGTAAATTGATATTCCTGTTTATCGTAAAATGTCGCCTGCGATAAAGAGTTTCAAGTGTCACGCTGTTTGTCTAATATAAAGCAATTCAACGCGTATGGTGTTGAAGAGCAGGAACAAAATATTATTATTTTCTTGTATACTTATACAAGAAAAAAAAAACATGTCAGTATTTCACTCTAATTATGAATATATTGTAGAGCAATTCAAAATGAAAGACACATATTTTTTAGGAGGGCATTCTCGAATGTTTAGGAATAGAAACAACCCCTCGAGAATAATTAAAATAATTTAAAATAAATTAAAATAATTTCAAACAAATATCCTCAAAACTATGAAGCTGTGAAATTATGAGAAAAAATATCTCTTAGACAAAAATTTTATGAATCTTAATGCTCTTTATAAGTATGCATTTAAATTTTTCAAAAATGTAATATTTTTTAAAACACATTTATTACATAAAAAATATGATAAATTTAAAATTTCCTATAAGCAAAATTAAAGTGTTTTACGCCAAAATCATTTATATATGATAATATGGCATTCTCAAAGAGCATTAAATATTCAAAGGAGATAAAAGTTCGTCTCACAAAAGAGAATATGAAATATCATAAAACGGAATATAAAATTACTTCTAAAGAAATGTTCTAAAACGCGATATATTTATCTATCTAGTTTTTATTTTAAATTTTGTACATAACATATATATTTATTTTCAATTTTGTGTATTTATTAATGCATGATATATCTCTGGGCAAATTAAGTGTTGGAGATCGTTATTAAATGTAATCATCGTTGCGCAACGCGGTTCGCTTTTCTGGTTGCTTTTCGAAACTTTCCGTAAAAGGAAAAACATTTCCCACGAGCGAGAACTTTCCAGTGAGCATCGCGCGTAACGCACTTTACGTGACGCGAGTGCAGTGAATAACGCAGAAGAGCATTGCGCGGACGGCAAGAAATTTTCAAATGGAACGGCACGTCGAAGGTTTCGCATTTCCATGGCGAGTTCCGAGCAGCAGCCGCGAAACCAGTAATTTCATTATCGAACTTCTCGCCTCTCTTTTACACCAAAGTTTCGGATCTCTGTAAGCTTCGCAAGAAATAACGCAGATTGAAAGCTATCCTCGCTGCGAGGGAAAGCTATCAACCATTAGAAAAGATAATAGAAAGTGTTAATTTCTAAATGCAATCGAGAAGTTTTTTATGCACAGACGAAGCTTAAATACAAATATTAATGATAATGCTCATGTTTTATAACATGCTTCCTTATATATTCATTATTATTATGTTAAAAGATCTGTCTTAAATTTGAGCAAAAATTTTTTTCTTTTTCTGATTAATTCAAAATTCATAAGATTAAACGAGTGTGATTGTTAATTATTCCTTAAATAAGATGTACATACATAATTACTCTCGCATTGTTCTTTCCAGCAAGAACCAGATTTTTTCTCTTTCCGCTAAGCCGACATCTCATTAACATACTTAATATATCGCTTAATTATGACTCGGTATTTACTAAAATATATGCATTCGCGTTTTTGCGGAACGGTCCAAAAATCGCGAATCATGTAAACGATATCTTTTTACATAGATGAAAACAAATGTTGAGAATAAAAGCTAAAAAGTATACCAAAAAATTGTATGTTAACTGTAAGTTAAAAAGTATACAAAAAATTGTAATAATAAACAGTTGCGCTTTTTAATGTCATTTTTGATAGAAATATCATTCAACATTTTTTTTGAAGATTAAATGTGTTACAAAATAATACATACAAAACTTCATCAACAAATAAATCAAAATAAATATATCTTTTTGTAACACTTTATTAAGTTTATCAATTTTGATAATTATTAATCAATATTTTAATATTGATAAAAGACACATGATAATCTTTGTCATCTCCGAAAATTCCCGAAAAGTTCGAGCTTATGTAAAATACAATTCGAAAGTAAAAATCTTTCTTACATCGCATAATATTTAAATCGGGAATATGGTGAATTTCTTTTAAATCTATTTATTCCAATAACAAATAATCGGCTAATTTAAATGTCTAAATATCCAATTACTTTTCTCTAAGTTCGTTTACTCGTATCAAGAAAATGATCATTTCCGGCGTCGCGTCGCAGTGAATATTTATCGGCCGATTAAGAATCCGTTTTAAATGGAGTCGATCATTAATTCAATTCTATGGATTTGTTTGCAGATGCAGCTCCTTGAATTTTTTCCTCCTGTAATAACACTTAAAAAGATCCAGTCAAACAAGTAACAATAATAATAATGTGATTTATTATTATATAGTGGGAAGAAAAAGAGAGAGTGAGAAGGGGGAGAAAGAAAGAGAAACTAGGTTTTTCAATTAAGAATAATTTATGTCAAAGTTCATAGAAATTACGAAGCGACGAAGCAAATAGATGAAAGCGATAAGGATGATTAAGAGCAATTTATGTGCATTATCCGGATAAGGATAATGCACATAAATTGTTCTTAATCGTCCTTATCGCTTTCATTTGTTTGCTGAATAGTGAAAATGGATTGAAATTGCGACAAGTGGATGATAAATTACGATTTAAATGACCAGTCTAATCATTGACTTGCCTGTCGCTATCTAGATAGATATAGATTATCGTACATCAAGTTATGATAATTCGTGAATGTACATACATAATGCGCAAAAAAATATAAATTGTGTCGGGAATATCGCAGTCGCATCTTCATACAACAATTTTGTTGTTATGACATGAAAAATAATAATTTTTAATCAATTATTTTATATATGAAACAACTCCGGATGTACATAGAGTATTCAGTTGTGTTTCTAAATTCTAAGGCAACACATCAGCTTACGTTCTGATGAATAGCACCGCAAACATAGAATTTTGCCGACGACATTCATAATTTATGCGAGAAGAAGATGGCGTGGCTAAGCTATTTTACACGGTGAGAAACACAATGGTTAACATAATTTTATCAACAAATGGTCGTCATGAAGAAGTGAGAGGAAGAGGTAATAATGAAGAATATTACTTCAAATATTTGTTATCATTCAGAATAAACTGTTAGACGAAATAAAAGCTTTAAGAAAGAGAAGCTAAGGAAATGTTTGTCTCGACACTTGAAGAAACCTTGAGCGGCGAAACAAAATGTTATTAAATAATAAAGAAGATGAGAAAGTTTCACGAAATTCTTTTCTCGAAAAAGTTACTCGTGCCACAAGTCACTCGCGGTAACTTCGAAATATTAGAATGGCTCGTTTGTTTGAAAAGTAAATGTTGGTTCGACACTGAGACTAATACAGCAGTATTACGATGCACACAATCTCAACATGATAGCTTTTGCTCGCAAACAACGAGGAAAAACTTGGACACGGGGATGAAAATAATTTGAAGCAGAAATTTACAACTGGCCAGTATAACTATTCCAGGGAGAGAACCGCACAGGATGAGAGACAACAAACTATTTATTACGTCGAAACTATCTTCAAAGTTAAAGGATAAATGTAATGCTGATAAAGATAATGGATACGTAACCTATGCAATTTAATAAAAGTTTCTCTTAAGACATAGTTAAAGAGAATCGGATATTTAATATTTTTCTTTATATGTATATCAGGTATAAATTAGTATATCTCAATTATATATATAATTTAAAGATAAATTATTACTCAAAAATGAAATATGTTTGTCACTAGCCGTACAATAAAAAATAAAAGAAAACAAAAGGTAGAGATAAACGAAAAAGAGAAAATTGGAGATTTCGCGTTGTTGGAATTTTTCGCAAGCCACCGCTTCGATAACGCGCGAAATTTTGCGGTCCCGTCGTTTCACGATTCATGTGGATATGCGTGTGCAACGGATCGGCGAATTCCAGGTGAGAAATGTCGAAAGATAGTTCTGCGTTTTTATATAAATGTACGCTACGCACGCGTCAAGAATCTTTCAATCGTTCTCCAACACAACCGAGATGAAAATTTCAAGCATTCGAGATTATTAATCTCTCGATTTTTCATCCTGCGGATCACTCCCACTTGTTTCACACAATGTCTCTTGCACTAAGATAACAATAAGGATGTAAATTATCGCGGCATAATTGATTCGCTCGCGAATCAACACAGATTGAACACGCGCGAAATGAAAAGCTAGTGATGTTTAAGCGAAACTAATATTAGAGTGATTGCAACCGCGTAGTTAATAGAACGTCGGTTCCATCCCTCCTGGAAAATGAAGCGCAGCTAGAGCCAACAGTGGCGTCGATTGTGTCATCGGGATTGTTCGAACGAGAAATTGCTATCGCGTATTCACCAAATGCTCATTTAATTCTGAATGAATCGAAATGATAGTATCTTGTGAACGCAGCACGAGTTTATTTAAATTGCAAATTTATTTTTGAAAAAATATTCGAAAAAAACCTATCGTTTTATAATTCTATAAAGTTCACGAATAGAAGAGTGTGCTAAAATAGTGAAAAGGGGATAAGAGTTGGCGGTCTCTGCCATTAATTTCTTATCGACAAACCACTATTTGTTCCGCGAAGGAAAATAATTTTATCTACAAAGGAAATAAATAAATAAAAAAAAAAGAATCGCGCGGGAGTCATCTGGGCGAATATATTTCGCGCGACTCGCCGAAATCGAATTCGCAGGAAATTTCGCCGAGAACCGGAGAGAGATCGACATCGAACGGCCGAAACGTCGATAGCTTTTGGCGACGTGACATCGCCCGAACGAATCAACGAGTCCTGATTTCTCTTCGTCCAAATTATACCGAGAGGATGCAATCAAAATCGGGGATCGCGAGTCTCTCCTCCCCCTCCTGCCTCCCCTCCCCTCGGGGGCTTCTTCATTATTCGCGGGCATTGAAACTGGGGGTATAGCAACCCTCTCCGCTCGTGTCGGCGCTGTTTGCGCAACAATCACGCTAACCGAATTATCCTGATCACATCGGGTGCGCGTTCAAACACACCCGCGGCATCCCTTCTTCCCCCTCGACTCTCTTCCCATTCTTCCGAACTCACCTGTAATTGATTGGATTTTATTTGTACGATCCAGCTCTGTGATATCGATAAAAAATGAGGGTTAAGGCATGCTCAACCTCCTTTCATCGAGAACGCTTTCAATAAGTTGCTTCAGTGCTGCCTTCGATCGCGGAGGAGTAACCATAAGAATATACTTATTTTATTGTTGTTGAGCGAAGAGCGAATGAAAGTGAGCAAAAGGATTATCTCCGTCTTATTTTAAATATTGTCAACCGATTTATTTGCTTTTTTTTTTAAATCTTAGGTTCCTCACAAGATATCGAACTATTCCAGATCTTTCAATTTCCAAACAAATTCTCGGAATCTTCGAATCTCGCTGTACCATCTCCAAATATGAAGTCCGGTCGGAGAAGATTAAGAAAGTTAACGAGAATCGCGACTCTTCCTGTCGCGAGAATCAAGATGCGCGGGAAGAAGAGCCAGAGCAAGCAACTCGACACGATCTTGCAAGGATTACGCTACTTTTGCACGCAAACAACACTTCACGGTCTTCGATACGTGGTCGATCCCGATCTACATATGATGGAGCGATTCCTGTGGCTCGTGCTGTTCGTCGGGTCCTCTATAAGCGCCAGCCACGTCATTTATTCGCTGGCACTTAGATTCCAGGTAAAAATCATACAAAAGAGAAGTGGTGTTCACAAATCCTTCAAAGCTCTTCAAAAATTCGGAGATTCAAAGATTTCGGAGACCATCAATTATATTAAAACAACGAACGATATATGGTGACTTTTATTAGACTTGATGTATGTTGATCGATATGTATTTGCTTACCTTATTGTCATTGTTGGAAATTTGTCTAGGCCGCGCCGACGTCGATCAACATCGAATCCTTGCACTACGATAATTCGAAACTGCCTTTCCCCAGCGTGACTCTTTGCCCCAACGTTCGCGTAGATTGGAACCGGGCCCTCGAGCTCGAACCAAGGATCTTTTCTAATGATATAGACGAGACGAGCCTAGAGATTTTCCGGAAGATATTGGGCAGGCTTTCCGTGATGACCTTCGGGGATTTTGATGAGATGGATTTCCTGAAGAATCATAATGTGCGCAATCTCTCGGGTAAGATACAGTCTCTTTTCCCAGCAGACGACTTATAATGTGTTCCTTTATTTTCGATCTTTAATGCTTTATTCGAGAACAAGGTAAAACTTATTTTATATAACATACAAATTTCTATAAGATTAAATCAGAGTCATTGTCGGCGTTTTTGCATTTTTCTCGCTGATTTTCTCGCTAATCGTTAGCATCAAACAGGTATCAACATAACTCAGGTGTTGTACGACGTGATGCCGTCATGTGACCAATTCCTGTCCGCCTGCTGGTGGCGCAACGCCGATCGCAATTGCTGCGAGATCTTCGAGGTGCAGAAGACCGAGTACGGCTTCTGCTACTCGTTCAATTCGGAAATGGCGGTGACATCCCTGGCGGATCCCACGGAATCGCGGCCACGAAAAGCATCTAGCTATGGCGAATGGAGTGGCATCAAGGTTACGATTCATCCGGGAAACATAACGAAGCCGCCGGATTCCAGTAAGGTTATTGGCAACACCAACCGTGTAATATTCTACGTGTAGTGAGATGAGAATCGAGCGATATGGATCGGATAGAGCGAGTTACTTATATTTCCCCCTCAAAAAAATAATAAAAAGAAAAACCATGTGCGCGATCGTGTCAAATAAATTGCTCTGGAAATTTGGAATCGTATTCGATCGAACGCTGATTCGCCTTCCAGTCACGCCCTTGGGTATCGCTTTCGTTGTATTATGTTGAAAGATTCAGAGCTTGATCGACGTGAATCAAAGAAATCTTTGGAATATTTGCTTCGCCTGGTCACATCAGAAAATTGGAAATTTTGCTGATGTAATGTGAAATAAAAAGGAAATTCAGATATAATTCACATCAAAATGATTGAGCATTTATTTATTTATTTATTTATTTATTTAAATTGTTACATTGATTATATACTCTCTAAAAGTGAATCAGTGTATTATTACTGAAAAACAGTAAATAGTCACTGATTACAGCAGTTATAAGTACAGCACTGTAAATCAATGACATTTTATTGAAAGAATCAGTTAATAATTTTGACTGTTTCAATCAGTAATATTTCTCAATATCAGTAATATTTCTTTCTATCGTCAGTAATATTAAACTATAATTCATCTCTTCATAATTTTCATTAAGTCGTCAGACATTTATTTGTCCGACTTATATAAAATCGATTTAATACCTAAAGCCTCTCTATTGAGATTGTATCAGAAATTAAATCGAAGTAATACTTTTAATTTTATCTATCGCTCTTTCCAAACTTTGTATAATTCTTATGACTAAACTAAATAACTAAACTAAATAATACGAGAGAGATAACGATCGTAGCGGTAAACGAACAAACTAGGATGACTGGTTTTACAGTGAAATTTACTGGTTTTTTATTTTAATTCATCATAATCATGATATAGGATAAAATAACAAAAAAATAAGCGTTTCCATTGAAAATCAGTAAAACACTCACTGATTCTCAGTGAATCTTATTTTTACTTATCTTATTTTAAATTAGTGATATTTTCACTGATACACTTTTAGAGAGTATCATATTTATGTATTTTCAAGTAAATTGCACGCATATCATTTGAGATGATCATATTACATATATTACGTGTTTATTATTACATTATCTTGGCAAAGGGAGATAAACGCATTATTCGAATAAACATTTAGTATAAATCCAAGCCAAAGAGAGGAGAAGAAAGGGAACAGTGAAATGTATATACATATAATATGACAAACAAAACGTAAAGGGTAAACCGTGCAGCGAATTAATAACTAATATTATTTCTACCGAGATTCGCTAAATGACAAAGTGTACACCAACGACGTATCGTTACTAATCTGCTGTTATGCAAACGCGCCGCGGAGAATCTCGCAAATATGATTTTAATATCCTCACGAAAAGCCATCGGACGCATTTTGAATAGGACGACGCGACGTTCTCTCGCGTTCCATCGTAATGTCGCTCCTTTATTACCTCGGAGCGCGAAATGGGGAACGGGATTTATCGTAAACTGCAAAATCGATGTATCGGTGCCATGTTGCGAGGCAGTTATTGAAATGTCACCTCTAAGAAAACCTTTCAGTTCAAGCTCTGCTCTGTCGACTAGAAGGTAGATATTTTTCCTTTCCTCTCCTCTTCCCCGCGAAAAATCGAAGACCAAATCCAGCCCAAATCAAAGCCCAAGAATCGGTCGTATTCCTAATATATCTCGCGTTGCAGATTTAATTGACGGTGTCATAGTGATAATAAACGAACCGCATGTGTGGCCCAACACCGGCACCATGATACCGTCGAGCTCGTTGGTCAGCCTGTCCTTGAAGTGCATTTCCGGATACGCCACCCATCGCGTCCTCGAACTGGATCGAGATAAGCAACCGTGCTTATATGATGAGACAGGCGTGTACAATCAGGCTACCTGTCTGTCGCTCTGTAAACGCAATTACGTCATCAAGTATTGTGGCTGCAATCCGTCCTTCCTGTTTCCCGCAGGTACGTATTTCTTTCATATTTCCTCGGAGATCGGAGTTTCGTTCTTGACAAATGTTGTAAACTGTTTCAGTCGCTCCTCATCGCGATTGCACCATCGATGATTTTATGTGTCTGCTCAATTATAATGGTAAGAAAAGCTTCTCCATCGGAACGTATTCCATGTTCTGTTTTATAAATACTAGGATAAATCAAAAAGTAAAGGAATTTTTTCGTTTCCTCGAACAAATGGCTGGCAACTCTAAGAGACTCCTTTATGATTTACAATATCATAACTTCAAAATGACTTTGTGTGTTCTAAGTGGTGGTTTGTCAGGAATTACCTAAGTCGCAGCAAGATCTATGAGTAGATAAATTATTTTAAAAATAGTCGGATTAGTGTCTGAGATGAAGAGTAGACAGAAATCCGACCATTTTTAAAACGATTTATCCATTCATATATACTTCCATGATTTAGACTCTCACCATACTGCTGTTGTATTTTACGAATAATCTCTACAAGCTTCATCCTCTTTGAAAAAAAAAAAACACATCATTGCTCGCATTTCATTTTTAATGCAGATGAAAAGCACTCGTTATAAATTGACGTACAATTACAATAAAAACCAGCTAAACAAGAAACCACTATTCTGAACACGCAAAGACACTTTTTGAAATTAATATTAAATTTCACATATATGAGTTCATCTGTTCTAAAAAAACAACAAAGTTCTCTTACTTTTTAACACACATTTGCCCTAGTATATAAACATATCTCTTAAATACATATAAAATTAATGCAATATTTTGTTCTTTTTGTTCTCTTGACACGCGATGATGCAAGATTTGTTCAACGATCATATCCTTTACTTCGGCGACGAGATCCCACATGACATTTCTAGAATGATTTGCAAATGTTCCCCGGAATGCGTCTACTATAACTATGTTACGGAGTTTTCTAATGTGCCGTATAACGCAAGCGACATTACGCTGGACGTGCATTACATAGGACAAACCAGTTTTCGCTACAAAATGGACGTAGTCTTCACGCAAATGGACCTCCTCGGTAAGTTTTTCTCTGCAAAATTTTTTGTTACGAATACATTTGTTGCGTGTATTACATTTTTTTCCGCTAAATGGTTCCCTCGTATACTTTTAGAAAATCCGACTTCTTATTCAATTATTCTTATCAACAATCTTCCTTTTTATTTCGGAAAAGATATTAAATTATAGTTAATCTGGAATTTTGTCTGATATATTAAGACAATGTGGCCGCGTCGGCTTCGAGAAATTTGTAAAGACGAAATTGTAGGAGAACACATGGACTGCTCGCGAAAAATGCCGCTTTATTCAAGCTCGCTCTTCTAGATTCGCGGAGAACTTTAATTTGCGGCGCCTTAATTATTTCCCTATCTCTATTAGCCGTTTCGCGGCGGTTTGCCTGCATAACGAGTCCCGCGAGATACCGAGTTACGAATTCATAGTGCTCCGGTGCTTCTTATTCAAAATGTTTATGTCTCTTATTTACGGCTATCTTGCTGCATATTATTCGCGATTTCATCGCGGGAGCGAAAATCACTATCGAGAGAAGACGCGAATTAACATCGCGGGAAATTAAAGCCAACATTGTGCTTAATCGACTCTATGTCGATGCTGATCTGAAACCCGCCGACGTCATCATCATCGAATGTTTTGCCACAATCACCATATTAATAACTCGATCCCGATTTGCATACCTTCTTGCAGTGTATTTCGGCGGCATAATCGGCTTATTTCTGGGCGGCTCGTTGCTCAGCGTCGTCGAGATCGTCTATTACCTGATAGTGGGGATATACTCGTTTCTGCACTCGCGACGAAGGGCCGAGGGAAGAAAAACGCAACCGGGGTCAAGGAGGTCAAGCGCAATGATCGTCTACAGCACGACTACGGTGCTGCCTATCCTGGATTACAGCCCTCTGAAACAGCGAGCTAGGAGGATACCGATTTTTGCGAATTACGGCTTCGCGAAATCGAATTTGAACAGGTATTGAATTACAGAGGGAGGTGAAAATAATATACTCTCCTCCTCGCGCGAGGTCTTTCAATCGTAGGGGTAGGCCGTTTATTTTTAGAGAGTCTCTCTATTATAGCCGAACCGTTCCAGGAAATTTGAGAAGGCAAAATAAGAGGGATTTTGATAAATATATGCCTTAACCTCCCTCTCCGAATCGATATTCGTACGTTGAGAATGCGAATATACGATTTCTGCTAGAATAGAATTCTATTTTCTTCCAAGTTGAGGAACAAAAATTTTACAAACCAGATATTCGCTAAACGCTGTGCGAATCGAGAGTACTGTCTGCTAGAATAAACGAGTCCCGTTTTCCATAGACACGTCGGTTATTGTGTTTTACTCTCTGTCCCCATAAATCAGAAAGTAGCCGCCATATCGATCAGATTTGACAGGGAAATCGAGAATGCCTCGCACGCGAAATCTGGTATCTACCTCCTCCTAGACATCCCTATTCATGTGCGTTTGTGCGCGTATACGGGCGTTTGTATTTGCACGCGTGCATGCAGACAACTCGTATTTTATTCAATGTTATATATGATACGTTCCTTCCATCTTGCCATTTTGCGGCGGCGTAACGCTTGACTTCAATAATACACGCTATGCATTTTGCATGCGTCTCAAGCGACTACCTTGGCTTTCTTGGCTTGAAGACTGGCAAGTCGAACAATTGTGCAATTTGTACATTTACTCGTTATATACTTGAGAAAAAATGCCGCAGTCATTTTAAAGAGAAGCGTTATATAGAACAAAGACTTTTGAAAGAGAAAGCGTAAAGAGATAATTGGACGAAGTAGATTTGTGTTGCATTCAATGCGTAAAACGTTATGTTACGATCGTAGTTGAAAATTAATTGTATAAGGTGTAGCATCAGATATATAAAATGATTTTATAATTTTATTTTGTATACAAATTACTTAGTTTATTATAATTGAAATATGAGATTCTGTTATGAAAAATTGAAATAATTTTCCCCAACAACTGCTAAAGTATATAAGTAATGAATCATTACAATTATCATATTTATTTTGAATGCTAAATATTATTAGATAAATGTAAATTAATCAAGCATTTAATTATATTTTATAATGAAATATCGAGAAATATATTAGATATTAAATTAATTTATAATTAAATATTGTATGTGTATGTGTGCATGTGTGTATAGCATGACTGCTCGTGAAAGATATAAATAAATTTATTATACGTGACAAATAACACTTACGTATAATAAAATAAATATTAAATGCACATGTATTTTGAAAATAACAATTTTAAATTCGAGGAAGAGAGAAAGAAAAAAAAGAAAGAAGAACCTAATTCAATTTCAAACTAGACAAGGAATCTCCGAATAAAAACGCGATGAGGCTGCGACATTTTATACGTGCGCTAGTTATCGTCATTTCGCGGCACGAAAGTGGCCGTGTCGACAAAATGCGGCCGCGAGCGGACAATTGCAGCATTTTAGATGAGCGCTGAAATGTATGAATAACGGGAATAAATCGCGCGTGTGGCGCATTCGGTGCACTCGGTAAAATTGTGCCGGTCACGATTCATACTATTTGCGCGGGAATGCTTGCGAGCGCAAATAATGTACAAGGACTCTCTCGCCCGGCATTCGCCTTGCATTTAACACCCCTGCGGCGCAACACATTACTAAGCACCCCTCATCGAGATATATGCAAACAACTCTTAAAATTACATCTCCTAAAATAATGACTTTTTACAAAATAGCTAGAGATTAAAAAGTGAGGTTTATCGATCCGAGTTGGAAACAAGAAACTTCTTCTTGTTTAGCAGCTACTTAATAAAATGATAATATTTTATGAAATTTATAATGTTTCGTATCTTTGAAAACTTTAAAACCATATAAACTTTTCTTTATAAAATGATCTCACACGTCAAAAAATTAGCTCCTAAAATATTGAACATGTACTTTTAAGAAATAGCATGTATATATATATATAATTTTACATATTGGTGTACTCGAATATTTTCCACCCGGAAAGAAATCCGGCAAACGAGAAATTCCGCGGGCGAAAAAAAATGGCGAGCTCGTCGTCGCTAAAGACGTAGTTATTCTCCGCGGCCCGGGCGATTTTTCGAGCGACGACGAGCCGGATTTTTCCCTTCAGACAGCGGACGCTTTCACGCCATTGAGGATAACCGGCGCACTTAAAACAGCAGATAAGACACGCGTCGCCCATTTTTCCCCGTTCTTTTTTTTCTCTCCCAGCGCGACACGTGTAAAGCGCGCGGTTTGAGACGGAAGCGAATGTTACCGGTCGTCTGGTCGAGCCCCATTTGGCCATTTATTATTTATGAGAAGAAAAGACGGCGTACAGGAGAGGAAGGGGAGAGCGAAAAGTTGCACCGTCCCCGACCAGCAACGTCAACTCACCAGGAAAAAAATCCCTTTCTCGCGCTTATCTCTTTTTAGGGGCGCTACCCGCCGGGATTCATCCACCGTGAAAGAGAGATACTTCACGGGAGGATACGTCTCTGTCTCTTTTTTTCTGCTGCGCTTTAAAAACATCCATCGAGGTTTAACCAACATTGCCCATTATAAAGACTTCGTGTAGCTCAGTTGCATAGCGACGTCAACGTGTAGTCAATTGAGGCAGTTGAAGTCTCCCTCGAATGGATATGCGGTTCTGGCAAATAAATGGATTGCTTGAGATTCGCTAACGGTCATTTCGGCCACTTCGGTCTTTCTAACGGCAAATACTCGCGCATATTGCTCGCAGGATCTGGCGCAGGCGGACCGAAGATCTATGGGTTGAATAAGAGCAAACGAGAAAAAAGGAATGGTCGGGAGAGAAAAGCGAAAGCTTGGAAGAGCGTAAACGGGAGGACGCGCGATTGCTCGAGGCAGGGCGGAGCATTGCTGCCCAAAAGAAAAGTCCAAAGAAGAAGAGGAAAAGAAGGGAGAAGAATGAAAAGAAGAAGAAAGAAGAAGAAGAAGTGGAGACGGAGAAGGAAGTAGAAAAACCGATCGTTGTCAGGGAAACGAAGGAAATCTGCATTTTGTCAAACTGTCGCTTGAAAGTTCGCGAGCGCGTCTGGAAACACGGTGGGTGAAAGGTTGAGGGCGGAAGGGCGGGGCAAGGGGAAATAGGATAGGCGAGGGATTGTCGAGGGTGGAAAAAGGACGAAGAAACTGGCGCGCGCGGCTGGCCCCGTTGAAGAAGGAAACGGCGAAGTTTCGAGAGTAACTCTCTCCGGCGTGCTGTTATCTAAACCCTTCACGTAGTGTCTCGAGTGGTTCGAGGTCGAAGGCTGTTCCTTGCCGGGGAATATCAGCGCATTATTTTCGATAAGGATCCCGCAGACGGTAACTCGTCCCGTCTAATTGACAGGAACGTGTTGTCCCGATCTTGTCGCGAATATAAGCGCGAGAATTCGAGGTAGACCTGCCAAGTCGCGAGAACTTTGTGTAGAAAGAAATTTATCAATTGTTGCCTGGTAGAGAAGAATAATTGATTTATACGTCGCGATTAATTTTGTTTCGTAATAATCTAGACTGCAGAGTATAAGTATTGAATTTGATATTTATATATAATGTACATAGGATGTCTCAAAATTTGCTCAAAAGGGCAGGAAAATTTAATCGAAAAATTAAATAATTAAATATTTGCGATGTTTTAGTTCAAGCAATAGTTCTTGAGATATAAGAATTTAAAGATCTCTGCTCAATCACAGGATATGTTTAGATGGTTGCTTAATTGTGAAATCGTGTACGCACAATTTTAATAATGCACATATAATTCACAAATAAAGAAAAATGTCTATAAAAAATTGAGCTTTAAATTCTTATATTTCAAAAATTATTGCCTAAAATAAAAAATCGCAAATATTTTTATTTAATTTTTCGAGAATGTCTTGTTATAGTATCTTGAGTTGTGTTTTTCTCGTATTATCCTTTCCTGTTATAGTATTTAAGTCGTGTTTTATTATATTTTATAAATATTATATATAAAATATATATAAATATTATATATTTAATAATATTATATATAAAAGTCTTGAATTATGAATTTCAGAACATATATATTTATGTGATAAAATTAATTTTTAATGTGTGTAGCTATTTCCTCTAAAATTAATTTCGTTACATATTACGCATACAAAACACATCTATAAATTACGATTAATTATTATTATACTACCGTCATAATCTCATTTTGCATTAATAATTATACCACATAAATAATGAGACGGAGCGATTTTTATTTATGCATCATTTCATTTAAATCAAATGCTCAAGTGGTATGAAATGCGTCGCGAACATACAGATCGAACCCTTCTCTTCAAAGTAAACGACGATATTATTCGCGACATCGCCTTCCGGAGGAAGCTCATTACGATAAATGCGACGTCGATGACTATTAAAGAGGACAGGCACTTTCAGCCGCGTCTGCTCTCTTCAGTTCCAATAAATTAAATCTTTCCTTCGTGAAGCAGCCGTGCACTCCGTCTTTGTCCCTTCCCTAGAAGAAGGGGGTCCTACAGTATCAAGGGTGCCGATGGGAAAAAGGTATCGTTTGCTTGGCTGCTTTCTTGGTAATCTTGAAATAGGGTACAACAGTACGAGTATTGGCCGTTTGCCAAGCGACTTTAAACTTCCTTCCGCTCTCCGAGGATTGGAAACATCTTTGTCGGCGCGCGTTGTAAGGATCACTGTAACGGAGGGCAGGACCACTCGTCGAAAATTCGAAACGTGCGCGCCGGTATCGAATGCACGAGAAGTACCTGAATGTTTGAGATTCTGCGATCGGTGCTTCGAGACTTTTTGCTACGAGATTTCCTCGCCAGAGAAAATTTCTTCCGATATTAAAAACTTTGACCGAGGGAAAAGAATATCAAACGCGCGAAATTAAAACGATCAAGCTAGTGTTAAATGTAAGACGGGCGAAACATTTTCCAGTAAATAAAGTATCTGTGCGTGTGTACGTGTGTCTCTCGAGTCTCTATCTTGTC